AAGGTCGCCCGGCGGGGCAACGGCCGGTTCTTCGGCCGCCTGCGAAGTGGCTGTGCCCACCGCCCAGGCGGCAGGGTGGTCTCACACCTGTCCTTTCACCCCAGAAGTGGCGGGCAGGTGCTGGGGCGTGTTAGGGTGCGGATAAGGTGAGGGAGGATGGATACGGGCGCGCAGCACCCCCGGAGCGGGCGTGCCGCAGGTGCGCGCTGGTGACCAGAGATCCGAGTGGTGCACAGAATCGCGACCCAAAAAGAGGTGAAAGTGGAAAAGATTTATTTAAGAAAGGTTCACTTCCCACGGACAGGAAGCAGGCCTACACTCTAGATGAGGGTGGCCCCGTAGCCCCCTGAGTCTCGGCTTTGATCCTTTCCCTTGGAGGTGTTGCAATCAGGTAGGCGGGACTGCCATGACTTCCTTATTCACCGTCCGCGAAGGTCTTGGAGAGCCTGTGACAGAGACCCACTAATGTCCACCCACATTGTCACAGCCCCTAGAAGAGGGCGCGATAAGGATCCCAGTGCTCCTGTATATTCCTGAATAACATTCCTTAGAGCTAACAGAGGGTGCACGTCCCCTTACCGCCTGTGCGTTCCCAGAGGGCAGCCCTGCGATCTGCATAACTTTTGTAATCACAGGTTTTATAATTTGTATAACTTTTGCCTAATGCATGATGTCTTGGGCCTTGTAAACTCCCTTTACTCTAGGCAAGCTTGATTGCCACTTCTGCCGGGCCTCATAGCTTCCACTTTCTCACCATTGTCAGGGTTTAAGAACAAGATAAAAATGGCTTCCTGCTCTCGGTCTGTCCTTTCAGGGAAGGTGTTAGATCCCACTCGGCCCCTAGTCGGTGTCCCCCAGACGGTGTCCCAGGGAGCTTAGGAGGAAACTGGACCCAGGGAGAGGGTGTCCCAGGTCACCTGGCAGGCTAGCAGCAGAATCAAGACTCAGATACAGGGCTTCCGAGTTTAAGTCTCCAGCCCTCATTTTGACCGATTTGCCTCTCTCGTTTTTATTTTCGCAGAACCATGTTGGGAAGAGGACGCTGGACCAGAGGTCAAGAAATTTGGATTCTAGCCCAGGTCCTGCCACCCGCCGGCTGAGAAACCCCGTTAAATTCACCTCTTTTTCTCTGGGCCTCAGTTTCCTGATCTGTGAAGTTAGGGCCTGGCCTGGCTGGTCTCTAAGGGCCAGCAAAACTGCAGCGGGTCTGTGATTTGGAGCACCCGGTTCTTGCACCACCTAGGCAGGCTCTGGAGGAGTCCTAGCTCTCCTCCTCACCATCTCCCTGCTCAGGAGAGCCCTGACTGCTTATCCTTCTTGCTTTCAGCCCCCATCGGTCTCCCCTAGTCCAGTTCCCTAAAGTGCGTGTGGGATGTGGTCACACAGGCCTGGGCTCTGTGGCAGGCAGAGGGCATTAGAAGAACACGTCGGCTATCAGGGTCTCCATGGGGTGACAAGAACAGGCTCTCCAAGTGGAGCTGGTGGCCCTCCTGCGCCCTCACAGCTCCCAGCCCATCCAGAGGAAAGTGGGAGGCCATGGACCACACAGAAGCTGGCTTTCCCCGGACATGGATGGACGTCAACAGGGTGTACATGAAACTTGGTGTAGGGTGGAAGTGGCAGGCCTCAAAGATCTCTGCGTAACTTCAACTCACCCAGAGGCAGTTGGCAGCTGAGGGGGATGGTCTGCCGGCTGAGGGAGCTGAATCCTCAGGGCCAACCCTGAATGCTGATTTCATAGATATGTGTCTTCAGGGCCTCTTGTTTCTGAAGAGCCCGCCAGAGTCACTGTGGAGAGAGCCTTAGCTAAGTGGGGCTCTGGCCTCTCTCCCTCAACCCCTCCCCACCTGTCCAGGGTTGCTCTAATCTGTCTGTTTTATATATTGGTCTTTTTTGAACTGTTCCCTTTCAAGAAAGATTTATCAGCTAAAACAAAATTTTTTAAAAATGGAAAACCCTTTAACTAGTCCAACTTCATCTGTGAAATGGGCTAGTAAAAGCACATAAGATTATTTGGAGGATTACATGAATTAATGCATGGCACTTAGCACTTTGCGGGTAGAGAAATGCGAGTGATTAGTAAGACCACACTGAGGAAAGCAGCCCATGGAGGGGAGGGGCCTGCTGGTAGCCCCAGGAGGTGGGGACCAGGCCAGGTCATCTGAACCCTGTTAGAACAGTCACAAGTCCTTCCCAGCCCCTTCTGAAGCCAGATGACTCCAGGGCCTCTGCCGCCAGCGTCGTGGCAAAGACGAGGAGTTGGGAGCCTGCTTTCCAGTCTTGAGCTCACGTAGGACAGCGCCTGGTTCTCCATCCAAGAAGGGGGTCTTGAGGTGTCCTGTCACATGCAGTGGTTTCTGCTGCCTGGTTCCTGAGGGAGGTCAGAGCTGCAGGTGAGGGATGCTGTCTGCCGTCTGTCCCCAGCCGACTTCTCCGGGCCCGCAGACCTGGACCCCCGCCCCGTTCTGCACATCGGACGCCTCTCTTGCTGTGTTCCTTGATGTGGCCACTTAGGATTCGGTCCTTTTCTTTTTATTTCCCTGGAAAACTAGTGTGCGTTGTTTGCTGGGGGCTGAACGGCACAGCCACCCGGGAGGCTGGTGTGCAAACCCAAGTGCAAGTTCATTCCCCAACAGAGAGTATGCGGGGGCCCTTCTTACCTGAGCCAGGGTGTGTGGCGGTTTGGGAAGTGCAGGCCCAGCAGGCAGGGGCCCGCGTGGTCCGAGGGGCCCGTCCTCGTCCTCGTGAGGAAGCCTGAGGCAGGTCCCCCGCCCTGCGTTCCCTCCCCTGCTCGGCAGGCTCACTCGGCAGGCTTCCCTGTGTGGCCGGCGAGGCCTGCGGCTGGACCAGGCCCTTTTGGTAGTCTGGGCCAGCCTGGCCCCTCTGAGGCCATGCGTGTGTCACGCGTGATCTCCCGTGTCAGGGCCCATGCCCACCCCACGTAGCCTCTCCTTCCAGGGCCGCCAAGACCCAAGACAGGCTTCAAGCCCTGAAAACCTCCTCGACCCCTAGCGGGCTAGTGACCCTTCTCCGATCCCACAGTATCCAGGGCTTTGGTCTCATCATGGGACTCGTTTCACTGGGGGAGTGTGTTTGGCCGTCTGACCCGCCATGAAATTTGAGCTTTAGACACCCAGCTCGTGCTTATGTCAAAGCGAAGTGTCAGGTGAATGAATGAGTGAGTTCAACGCTACTCGTGCCGGCGATGCTCCCTCCGGGATTCCGTGGTTCTCTTCCGCCCTCGTTCCTGCAGGTGGCGTGAGGCCCACAGTGGAGCTAGGTCCTCTCACGGCCAGTACTCGGGCTCTGTGCCATCCGTTCCCCGCGCGGGTGGTCTTTCTTCGTCGAGATCATAGATGCGTGACCGTGACTAGTTTCCAGTGACAGCAGTTGCCAGCGGCCACAGGCTCGGTGGGCTAAGACGGTGCCCACCGGTCTCAGTTTCGGTGACTCCGAAGTGTGGGCCGAGCTGCTTCAGCTGCTCTGCTCGAGTCTGCTGGGGCCAAAATCCAGGTGTGGGCGCTGCAGCACGTCTGCTCCCAAGCTCTGTGTTGGCAGGGTTCGATTCCGTGGCGTTGCAGGACTGAGGTCCCTGTTTCTTTGCCCGCTGTCAGCCTCGGGGTTCTTGTCAGCTCCCGTGTTTCCTGACTCGCGGCTCCCTGCAGAGCCACTCCTGGTGGGTGGAGTCCTCGTGCTTGTGATCTGTCTCCAGCTCTCCTGCCGCAGCTCTAATTTTAGGACTCGTGTGATTGCATCGGACCCACCCAGATAACCCAGGATCATCTCTCTGTTTTAAGGTCAGCCTACTAGTAGCCCTAATTCCCTCCGCAAAGTCCTTAGAATTCCAGCCACGACCAGCGGCCAGGGCCAACCTGGCTCTTCCTGCCCCGAGTGTCGAAGCAGCCTGTCCGACTTGGGCCACTGCTCCTTGAGAGCTGGGCCCCAGGGAGAGGGGGCCCTTGCCTGGTGCCCCTCCACATGCTGCCCAGGCTGACGGTGGTCCCACGGTTCCCAGGTCGCCCTGGTGACAGCTGGGTGTACTCCCAATCAGAGCGGCTGGAACCTGGCAGGAGCCAAGATTCCTGCGGGGCCCCCTGGCCGTCACGGGAGATGGGATCCCTTTCCTGCACGTGGCCCCTGGGAGCTGGTGTTGGGGTTGACCTGGCAGGACCCCAGAGAAGCTTTCCCTTTCAGACCCATTTGCATATCTGCTCACATCAGCTTCTTCATGGGGAAGCCACAGGCTGCCTGGCCCTTTGTGTCAGCCCCAGGGCCCACCACCAGCCCTAGGCCCCCAGACCCTAGTGGAAGAACTCGCTCTCACCTCCGTCGGCAACGGCCTCTT